TTATGATGTATATGTTGTCAAAACGGTGAAAATCTTATAAAATAATAACGATAAAAAATAGTAACGATTTTTAACGATTTAAATTTATTGCAGTTACGGACGAAAACCGGCCAATAAAATGTCACCCCGTCACAGTTCTCACCCACACCACAGATGGCTCAAGGACTTCCAGATTATACACGGTTAACGCGCGAGCTCACATTACAGACTTACTATTGTCTATTATACATTTATATTTTATACAGGTAGCTATATAGTAGCTATTACTAATTCAAGTTTTCATTAAACACACAAAAATTAGTTGTTTGGTATCCATGTGATTGTGATAAACTGATATGTGAACAAAGGACCTAAGTACCTAACTACTTGTGCTTAACATTTAACAAGGATGAGTTATATTACATTATATACCTACCTACAGTGGCACAACTAAGGTTCAAATCTTGGGGTTGCTACCATAATGAATCGGCGAATCGCTCACAAATCCGTGGGGGGCTCCTCCCCCCAACATTTTCATTATTTAAATTATACTACTATAGACTGAACCGCTGAAGTTATGAGTATGAAATTTGGACAGTACTTTGGTTTTGTGATGTAAACACCCACTAAGAAAGGATTTTTCAAAATTTAACCACTACAGGGCTTAAAATGGTTAAGTGGTAAAAATGAAAAAAAATTACCTAGCCGGAACCGCTGAAGCTATGAGTATGAAATTTGGACAGTACTTTTGTTTCGTGATGTAGACACCCACTAAGAAAGGATTTTTCAAAATTCAACCTTATGGGGATTAAAAGGGGTAAACGCCGTGTTATTCAGCTAGTTCTATGTAAGAAAATAAAATGTTTTAAATATTATATTTAATAAATAAAAGAGGTTGGACGCTGAGGATTAAGATAGAATGGGCACACGAACTATGGAACAGTGATGCTCAAGTTCTTTATACACATACTCTAAAATTTACTAGCGCCATAGGTATAAATATGTACTACCATCAGAAAAATCTTCTGTAATACTTATTTCCCGCGAAAATCATATTAAAATACTATATCAACGAACACGTGTACATGTACATATACCTAGTATTATGTAGTTGGTTTAAATCACATAATAAATTTCTCAGCGAAACTGGCTCTATGATGTGTTAATAAGTATTTTTTCTGTTGACATTTAGTTAGTCACAAAGATTCCACAGCACATGAAATGGCAGTATACAATTAGATTAAAAACTAAATAAACAAACGTAGGTAGTACTTAAATTATAGTTACACTGAAGGGAAGTAGAAATATACGTTATTAATATCAAAATATATTTTAATTGTAAAAAATACCCAACACACAAAAATTAATTGTTATCAAACGTAATTCCTGACACGATTAAAATAGTTATTCATTATGATCAATATTTAACGCTAGACCTAGCTCGGTTCCAGCTGTGATACAAGAAACTCTGAGAAACATTGGTCGTTGTGCAACATCTCTTATCGGGGTAACTCTAAATTGTTAACTACTTACATATTTATAAAGAGTATTATGTATTAATATAATCTGCTAACGGTAATTTGAGTTTTGTGTTAGTTTACCATTTCAATAGCGGTAAAACTAAACAAAACGGAAGCATGACTTTACACGCTTATCACACCTGCTTTATCGACTCTATACTAATATATAAAGGAAAATGATTTGCTTAGGCTGAACAGATTTTAAAAATTGTTTTACCATTAGAAGCCGACATTATCATTGATGAATATAGGCTAATTTAAAATGAAATGCTCCACCCAGGGGAGGATGCTCAAACTGGAATTTTGAGATTTACGATAGAAATTTGTGTTTAAAAATAGTTTCCATGGGTTTTAAAGTTATTATAATAATAAATAATAATTATTGGTTGTTGTTTATTGAAAATGGTGGCTATTGCCTATTGATCATAGGAGAAATAGTTAGTATGTAACTGTTGCGAGTTACATCCAAAAAGATTTAAGCAATCCCAAATTTTAAGGGCAACGAAGTGCACGGGATCAGCTATATTTTAATATGTTGACATACTAAAAAACAACTTACAACATTTTGAATGGAAAAATTGACAACACTGTTGGTATCAGTAAATCAGTACAAAATATTATAATATTAAGTACCTACATAGTAGTCATAGTAGTATAGTACATAGTACATAATACCTCTACATTAACATATATAAAACAATACTATACTATATTGTATATACATAATAAATATTTACCAATTGTAATAATTAATGAAAAATCTAGTAATAAAAATGCTGATATTATATTTTTTTATAAAACAATTAAATGTTTTTGTATAGAATTATTTCTATTTTATAATTAAGAAGTAAATAGATACCTACTAAATAAAACCTATGTCCTATAGCCATTTAAAAAAGGTTATACGAAACAACATTTAAAAAAATAAGTAATAACAATAAACAATTATACTAAACATATAAAAAGTTTTTAATTAATCCACCAAAACACAAAAAAAAAAAAACTATGTGATACTATAGTAATTATTTTCCTTTTTTTTTACACTTGCGATCATTTACAACTTCTGTTTTTAGAACTGCATGGTTTGCATCTTTTAAATGTTGATGTAGTTTGTTTTTTGATGAAAATACTGATGAACAAACACCGCACGCATGATTGGACTTTTTGATTTTGGGGGTTTCAACTATTTTTTGTTTTTTTTTGTTTTTCGTTGACTTTTCTGTTGTTGGTTCTTCTTGAGGTTGATTCTCCTTCGATGCTACTTCGGTCTCCACTTCTGGCACTGAATAATTATCAGTGTCATCAGGTATAGGATTATGATCATCATCGTTAGTCTTTTTAGCACTTATCAGTACAACATTGTCTTTATGCTTTTTAGATGTCTGATGATTGTGTAAAGCTTTTTCGGTTTTAAAAGACTGATCACATGTCAAACAATATAATACATTAACTTCATCAAAGGTCTGTGAATGTTTCTTTTTTTTTTTACTTGGTTTTCTTTTTGTATTTGTTATTTCTTCTTCACTACTTAAATCAGCTTCTAATACATCATCTGTATCAATATCATTTTGAACATTTAATAGATTGATATTCTTTATTTTATTTTTATTAAATTCCTTTGCTTCAGTTTCACTACTTAAACTATTGCAAGACTCCTCATTGCTATTAGAACTATCGTATTCTGCTTCGTCTACAGCACTTTCTTCATCAGAATGACTTTGACTATTGTCATCAGAAGAACTATTATTATTATCAGGTTCTTCATCAATAAGAATTTTTTCGTCATTCAACATCTCGACTTTTATAAGGTCGATATTTTCTTTATGCTTTTTAGACTTTTCATGGTTTTGAAATGCTTTTTCTGTTTTGAATACTTTATTACAAGCCACACAGTATAAGCAGTTAGCCATTTCATCATCTGAATCAAATTCATCACTACTACCATATTCAGCAATAAGGCTTTCTTCAATTACTTTTAATTCCTCTTCTACATTAGAAAACTTTGACCAATCAGATTCTTTATAATTGGCCATTTCTTTTTGTTTATCTTTTATTCTTTTTCGTCTAGCTTCTTCCATTCGCTTACTGTTTTCCGCTGATTTTAACTTAAGAGTCTCAGCATATGCTTTTAATCGTTTATCACGTTTACGTACAAACTCTATCAATGCTTGTATCTCATCATTACGCTCTTTCTTAGCTTTATCGCGAATCTTCTTATTTTCTTTTTCCATTAATTTGACTACACGTCTGTTGGGGGCTTTTCGTATGTCATATTCATCTAACCATCCAAATGGTTTATGTGTATTGAAACCACACCAAAAGTTGTAGAATGGTCGCACAATATCAGTATAATCACTGTCTGATCGACCAAATGTTGGAATTTCATCAGGATCTACTTCAAAAAAAACACTTTCTTCGACCAATAATGTATTGAATACCTCACGGTACACAGAATAAAATCCTTTATCGTCATCACCAAAGCCTTTGTAACAAGAAGGTGAAAAATACTTAAAAAGATTAAGTTCATTGACAGGTGTATCGCCACTATTAATAATATACTCCCGGTGATTGTCATACCACTGGCGTTCACGTGGGTCGCCTAGTACCTCATATGCTTGCTGAATTAATTGAAACTGTTCTTTAGCTTCATCAACACTATCTGGATTTTTGTCCGGATGCCACCTCAACGCTAATTTCTTATAAGATTTTTTCAAATCATCAGCAGAGACATCGCGTGACACTTCCAACACTTCATAAAAACACTTCATTGTGTTTTTACTCAAAATATGTCTAAAAATAATTATACATAACAATATGAGTAAATAGAGGTCATTTGAAAAAAAATAATCTTAATTTCAATGCTTACAAATTTATAATAGTTTACATTCATAAAAAAACATAAACTTTCAGATATATTAACATTGATATTTACCTGATAATATATTTTTCAAAAATTTAATAGTTTTCTGATTGATCTATTTAGGGTTTTTAATGAAACGAATACATTGAATTTTTAGACTGAAAATTTAAACTATTGGACAACAAGTCAATAATCCGAGATCGACACCGACTACCGAGTACCGTGATCCCAAGTACCCAAAGTTTGTACTTTATATTGTTATCATTTATCATTTATAATAAACCACGAAGATTAGTGATATCTCTAATCTTCATATTATTGTAATAAACAATAATATTTCGAAAACCTACCAATTACCATAGAATAGTTACCAAATACACAATTTGTTTGGCAGTCAACGGTTACCGAAGAGTGGTAAACTGGTAAGTACAAGTGCTTATCACTGCACCGGTCCGTGGCCCGTGCATTGTGCATAGATAATAAATCTTTATTCCTGGTGGATTGTTGTAACTTGTTACTTGAATAATCTTAAGGCGTACGAACTACGAATTTACTCGCTAACTCGAGGTTCATACTTAATTAATAATAAACCCATTATCCCTTTTTACCCTTTTGACTAGAAAGTTTACCAAATAATCAATATGAGATTGACGGATGTGCTCTGGACCAAACTACCAAGGGGTCATATTTTCAAAGGGTACGTTCAATTTTTCTATGTAATTATGTAAATCAATTCAAAACCATTCTATGATATTGTGTCGATATAGAGTGTTATAATAGATAACTAAATTGTATAATATATATAAAAAAATGTAATATTATGTAACTAATTTTGACCATTAGGCATTAGGTAATGCTTATTAATTATTATGAACATTAATTAAAATATATGAATCACAATAAAATGAAAGCTAGAATTTGGTATATACTATATAGTTAAAAACAATTTTGTACACTCAGAAAATAAATGTTTATTTTAAATACTTACATTCATTATAATAGGTACCTTGTTAAAAGATAACCATATTTACTTAAATAAATAAATATTATTTGTTTGAAGAACAGAATCAATAAAATAAGAATTCATTCGGTTCTTAAATACACTATACAGTTTACTAACTATTTAACATTAAGTTGAATTAGTAATAATTTCTCGTCCAGCGGTACATATGTACTGTACGAGTATTGAACTGGTATTCGTGGCAACAAATTTAAAGAAAATTTCAAATGCAGTTTGCTGTTCACGGTTTTTGTTTGGTTGATGGCATATTTAACTTTTCCTAATAATCTCGGGCACCCTACTATAGTACTTAACTCATTTACTTACTATCAATACTTAACCTTTATATTTAATCAATACTACTATGGTCACACTCATGACACACTATTAATTAAACTTTCTGCTTACATATCTATATATACACTAATTTTATAAAGAGTATCTAATAAATAATATTCATACCCACAGTTCAGACAATGGCATCCCTTGTATTTAAATTAAAAATTAATTATAACTGCAACGCACAGGTTCCATAGCATTTGATAATCATTCAAAAATATAGGTAGTTGAGTAGAGTACGCTTTACATTTGTATTAGGTATTAAGAATTCCAAAAATAAAACTGTGTGTTGAATATTTTTAGTATTCTAGATTTTTCATCTAAAATCAGATTTATTTTATATTTGTTGTATTTCATAGTTCAAAAAATAAGTAAAGGAGAAAAATAGATAATTTTTCTTCTAAAGATCAGTTCAATTTAAGATAATTAATTAATTTTATTTGTAACAATTTAAATCAAACGTATTTTAATGTATCTGATAAGTAATAATTAATATATTATATACATATTATTTTTATTTTTGTCAAGATTTATTAAGTTGGCTAGTAGTTTTTAATGCTTAACTAAATTGCCATTTTTAGGCCAAGCCCTTATAATAAGTAATAAATAATAATCCTGTTTTTTTCTTTATTTATTTGGGTTAAACAATCCATACAATGCTTAAATCATACGCTTAAGTGATCATAATTAAGTTTAGCTTGGTTCCTTTTGAAAGGAGAAGCTGCCTGCTGACACGTGACCCCTGAGAATCTTTAAATAATTACACTCATTTTGTGAACAAATGGTGAATTTTTTGCAAACCAATATGTCAAAAACATGTTTGTAGATTATTTTATAATTTATTACCATAAAAAAACTTGTATCTATAATATTGTTATATTGTGTATCTGTAATACAAACAAGCTATAACATTTCAACCATACAAATCAATAAGCATACTAATAATTGTACACATTTTATCTAGTGTCTATGTCCAGCGAGAGAATACACAAAAGTTAGTTCTTCTATGCACGCCAACACGACATTCTGTCATAGTGGAATTTGTTTGGATGGCAGGGTGTTGAATAGGGATGTGCAGAATCGGTGTGTTCTCTCTCTGTATAGAGTATACACTTTCACTGTTCTTTTAAATTTCTACTTTACTTATTTAAATTAATGCCTCCGATATATATTTATGTAAAATTAATTTTTAGATATTATATTATTCAAATATTTTTTTTTTCTATACTTATAATTTTTTAACTTAAATAAATAATATTATAGGTATTGAAGTTTAAATTGATAAATCATACTATGTACTGAGAACTAAAAATAAGATTTATAAAAGATTAACATAAAATATTATAAATACCTTGAAGATTTTTTAGTTTTATTAAGTATGAGGATTTAAACTAGGTTATAAAGTTAAAATAAATCAATATTATGTTGACGTGTTCTACCTACCTAATCCAATTTTTTCTTTACAGTAAACATCGTCTGGTCAAACCGGTTACTGGATTAGATATACATAAAAAACTTAGAGATCTTCAACGAGAAGAACAAAACATGTTTTACCTTCGGCACTCATATTTGACCAAGGTAAATATGCATAGAACTAGGTATTAGATATATTTTCCTGTCAACAATTAGTTTTCTATTTTTAATTCTTATAGTTATATGTATGATAGTATGATATATAAGTATATATATTTTTTGAGAACACTGTTTCATTTCAAACTTATACTAAAACTTAAGATAGTTAAGAATTAAAATCTGTTTGCAATTATAGGAAGAGTCATATGGGCATTCGCAAGAACAAGGTCGCTTTGAAAAATGGATGAGGAAATGGAAAGTGTTACAAGCGGAAAAATTTGGAAAGCACAAGCCAATGGATAATCACTTAAGTCATCTTAGGTCAACGGATGGATGGGAAAGTTACTAAGAGCTTCCAAAAAAAATATTTAATTATTAGATTCTTTATAACTTAGTTGCATGTTTACTTTAACGTCTGTGAATGTATGAAGGAAAATAAAATGTAAAATAAATTAATGTGATTATAAACATTTAAATACATATGCGACATGTTTAAGTTACTAGTTAACAAAATATTGAAAAAAAATTAAGGTTATAATTTTGATTCAAGGCACGGTTAATCATAGCCTGGTGCACACAACTGTATCTTCTTCCTCAGTCAACCATTTATTGTCAATTGCTTGTTCTTTGTTCAATGTCCTACCACTTCCCAATAATTCAGCAAACTGTGCAGCGATTGGATCACTTCCAACCGTTGCTACTGCCACTACTTCATTTCCTTTGCAATAATATACAACAGCTTTGAAGTTTTCAAGATCGCCATTAATTAGAACATCAGTGTAACCATGGTTGAATCCTTTGAAATTATAAATTAGGCAATATTTCACTTTATAGATAAAAAAAAAAGAAAAAGAACATACCAGCAAATCTTATGCTAGTGCCAAATAATGCTGTCCAGAAAAAGGGAACAGACTTAATAGGAGTTTTTTTGCCAAGCATTTGTAAGGCAGCAATTTTTCCATGGTAAGTAGCCAACTGCCAATGACCTAAGGATGATTTAATGTTAGAGGGGTAAACAGGAGCATTGGCAACATCTCCACCAGCAAAGATTCCTTTCACATTGGTTTCCAAATACTATAAATTGAAAAAAATATTTTGTTATGTCATCACTAATTCACTTAAATTTGGTAAAGAAAAAATCGCACCTTGTCAACTTCAATTGTACCATTGGACGGGTTAATCGCAATGTTAGAACCAGCCAAAAATTCAACATTAGTTTTTGACCCAGTGGCCATGATGCAAACATCTGCCTTTAACTTTTGACCATCAGACAATTCTATTTCAGATAGTCGATTATTATAACCAATGTAATTTTTAACACTTGTTTTCATGTGAAACACTACGCCTTTGGATTCAAATAATTCCTGGACTCGTTCGCCTATTTCTTTTCCTAAACTTTCTTTGAAAGGTACTTCACTACGGCCAATCACGTGCACAGATTTTACTTTAGAAAAAGTTGCTGCAGCTAATTCCATACCTAAAATTTTATTATTTGTTCATTATTCACTGATGTTAATAACTTTAATTGAAGTTTAAAAATTTTAATTTTACCAATAAATGATGATCCAACAACGACTAAATGGCAATCAGATGATAAACTTTGATGGATTTTATGTGCGTCTTCGATTGTGCGTAATGTAAAAACATTGTCATACTTGGAAACTTCAGGTGTAGAACGAGGTCTAAATATATTTAATTGTTAGAAAAATAAATACTAATTATTTTAGTAAATGGATATTTACGTCATTCCACTGGCGATAAACAAAGCGTCAAATGTTAATTGTTCATTGTTTGATAAATATAAAACTTTTGTACTTGTGTCAATTGATTCTACACTAGTCTTAGTTAGAAGTTCAATGTCTCCAGACTGAAAAATATAAAGATTATAGAACTGTTGAAATGTTTCATAACAATAAAATACACAGAAATAAAATTTTATTGCTTTTTGAAAAATTTGGTTAATTTATGTACATTTTGGGACAATACATGATGAACAATTTTAACATGTAACATACAGGTAAAAAGTAAGTACCTCCTGTAGTTTTTGATTAAAATAATGTTACTATACTATACATTAAGTTTTAAAATATAACAAACCATTTATACAATTTAATATAAATAATTTACTTCATAAAAGGGTAGAGAACGTAACAATATGCCATTCACATCAGAACCTAAGGCTTTGCTCAGTTTCGTTCGGTCATACGGTAAAAAACCATCTTTTGAGATCAATATCAATCGACCATCATATCCTTCTTGTCTTAATTTCTCTACACATTCTGCACCAGCGGGTCCTAGAGCAATAGTTCAATATTATTTTTTTTTTTTATTTATGATGAAATAACTAAATTACCACTTCCAATGACAATGAATGTACGCTTGTTTTCTGGATTGCGTTTAGTTAATGGCTTCACAAATTTAGCGTTTTCCAGTGCACACTTGTTGGCTGATACTTTTACATTACCATTGGTTACAGAAACTTTAAAACTTGGAATATTATCAAAGCCAGGGAAATCCTCAATGTCACCTATTAAAAAAAAAATAAAGGTTTTAAAACACCTTTAAATTAACATCATTTTTAATAAGTATTTGTTTTACCGCTTTTCAAGTTGAAACAAGCACCATGCCAAGGACATCTTACTGTACCATTTCCTAGAGCCCCTTTAACTAAAGGTGCGCCATAATGTGAACATTTCGATCCGACAGCAAAAAATTCATTGTTTTGTTTTACGACCAAAACTTTGTTTCCATTGTTTCCAATCTCAAACTCTTGCATTCTATTATTTTTCATAAATAAAAACGTATAAAATTTTAAATGTTATGTACCAATATTACAGTTATTGATTTACCCATTATCAGGAATGTCATTTTCATTACACACAATTTGTTCGATGACATCATCATTGGGGCCTGTAAATACATAAAATAATTATCAACACATAGAAAGAATAATGAGTAAATTTATTAAACATAAATAAATATTTTTTTAAAGCATTAGAATAACGTGTGCATTTTAATGAAATTAAAAAAAAATTACCAAAAAGCAAATGAAAAAAATACAATAAATTTAAACAAACACACACCCGACATTGTTCTGCAAAACACACGCGATTGGGAACGTATACTACTTCTAAATACTAGTCTTCGAATAAATAACATTCAATCCCTGTATGATATACCGGATTAATAGCCTGAAAGCATGCACATAAAAAAAATGAATCAACTTATTTTTTGTTTATCAATGTGAACGAATTGAGTATGATAGGAATTCACTTTAAATAGTTTAATGATAAGTTATTGATGGTATGTTGGCATTTTGCTAATCAAATGGTAGATGTTAATATTATTAGTATCCACGTATATATGTATGTATAATATGTATATACAAACATAATAAGTAGTTAATTATATTGAATGTTATTTATGTGAGTACGATTACCCATGGTGAAATGATTTTTATGATAACTTATAATTCCAATGAATTGCAAAAGTGGTGTCAAACATAGATTTTGATGACATTCACACACACCATGAGGCATATGAATTAATTATTTTATCATGCAAATATTTTAAGTTTTATTTGGTACATTATATAGTATAGCATTTTAAACAAACATTTAAACCTTTAAAGTGCTAAATTGAAAAATAGTTACTATAAAATGTAGATAAAATTACCAATTCATAAGAGGATAAAATCTTTTAAATTATCAAAATATAATATTATGATATAGGTAATATTTTAACAACCTATTAATTATTGTTTTATTTGTAATAAAAAATAATCTATAAACTCACTCTGTTTTATAGTAGGATTTGAGTTTACCTCGTAGTTGAGGTCACTATAATGAAAGTGTTAAATATGAATTCAATGATATATTATTATACACGAACAACTATTCGGAACAAAGGAGATGGATAGATCTGGATCTATTTCTGAGGGTAGTTTATATTAGTTATATTATTATTATTATTTATTTGTCTCACTAATTTTTCTCAAACACAGCATGTATTAAGTCAATATAGGCATACAGTAAAATAATGTTAATAACTGTGCTAACTATAAATATCTTAAAACAAGTGTAAATACTTAGTAAATTTCATTGTGTATAGAAATTAACAATATAAAATTAAATGGTAAAAATTGTAAGTTTACAACTTATTTTTAAAATTATTTTCAAAACAAAAGTATGATATTTAATTTTTGAAAACAGACTTGAGCACTTTTTCACAAACACCGTCTAATTATTCTTTACAAAAAAATTTAAGTAGATATCAATTATATCTATACTGAATAAGTACCAATCAGTGCTCGAATTGGGAGGGTGCGCCAGGGAACGGAGCTCCCCTACTATTTTTTCTTACTTGGACGAGAGGACGGTACAAACTAATATCCGAAATTTTTTTTATTAAAATGTGGATTTCAATTGAAGTCAATCATATAACAAGTTTTATTATTTTTCATATTAAAAGTTTTTTTGATATTAGTTTATTAATTAATTATAATATCAAACCGTATTTTGCCTATATAGTAGTTCACAGATCATAGATCATATACAAGAATAATATTATCTAAGGCACAGATACTGTTGTTGGCTATAGTACTATCTTAAATCGTGTTCAAAATGAAATGTTATCAGTTTCAGTTGTCGTAATCATTTATCGGTGTTTTTACATTTTTTTATACTTATCAAAATATATGGTTCCTTTTGAATCAAAAACAATAATTATTAATTTTGTTATCTATTTTGTATATTGAATAAACAGGTAGATTTTTATTAATTTTTTTTCTACTGTAACAATGTAAGATGTAGAATGTACCTAGATATTGCTATCAAAATATATTATACCTATTAGGAATCCAAAATGTGTTGCTGAAAAGTGGTATTCAAAATGTATTTAAGGCAGGAGAATGGGGGAGAGGGTGAGAGGCAAAATTCCCACAGGTCTGTGATGAGTAATTGCCCACTTGGAATGCAGTTTTAAATTGTAGGATTGAGCTCCTCTACTTAATTTTTCCCAATACGAGCACTGGTACCAATTAGCATAAAATCAAAATATATTATAACAATACATTTGAATTTCTGAAAACAAAAGCACATTTTACCAAATTTTTATGAAATGTAAACCTAAAATTAGAGAATAATAAGTTTAATTTAACATTTAAGACTTAAAAGAGAATTATGATTAGTGATCACTTGAAGTATAATAATAATGGTTTATAAAACCTTAAGTGATCTCCTCTGACCAGTCCAGCAGTTTAGAGTTCCAAAGTAAAGATACAAGTTACTATAGGTTATAAGCTGGATAATCCAAATATCAATTATTTGATATTTTAAACTAAAAAATGATTAAAAAATTGGGGTTTGGGTCTACAGATAAAATTTCAAGCCCTCCTATCCGTACCCAGGACCAAGAAAAAAACAACGGTATTATTCATTGTTTTCTGCAAATTAATAGGTAAAAAATGTAAAAACCTCAAGGTTAAAATTATTGAGGAATTTTTATAACTCTAGAAATTACATTAGTAGATTCTAAATTGTTACCTACCTACTTAATATCAATTAGTACTGTTCCACAAGTTATGTAAATTAAAAATTATAAAAACGTGTAAAACGTGTTCAGAAATAAAAGACACTTTTATTGAATTAATATTTAAAATAAATAGTAGCATTTTCGTTACCATTGTACTTATAGAATTGTTTGAATAAATAATAAATATATAATATTTGTATTAAATAAATGGTATCCTATTGTATACCTACCTACTTAATATCAATTAGTACTGTTCCACAAGTTATGTTAATTAAAAATTATAAAAATGTGTAAAACGTGTTCAGAAATAAAAGACACTTTTATTGAATTAATATTAAAAATTAAAAGTTGCATTTTCGTTACCATTGTACTTATAGAATTGTTTGAATAAATAATAAATATATACTATTTGTATTAAATAAATGGTATACTATGGTAGTTCAGGTACTACTCTGGATACTATTTATGCACTTATTAATTATAAATTTATGAAATCATTAAATAAACTTAATCATTAACATATAAATAATTTAAAAGCTCCTTAAATAACTATTAATGATATATTAGATTTAAAAAATACATGAATTAGATGGTATTTTTTTTAGAAATGGTGACAAAAAAATTACTGAAATATATTATTTTATTTTTAAAACCAAATAAAATATAGTTAATTAATAATAATTAAGTGAACTATTAATGGTACTTATAAACCAAAAATTAAAAATAATATAGATATAGTATCTAGGTAAACTTTAGTTGGTTGTACACTACAAATATTAACACTTTTGACATTTGATACGAACTCTGTTCAACTGATAGTTTTAAAATATTTGCTTTGTGTTTACTTACACACCTTATATAAGTTATAAAATCGTATAAAATAAAGAATATTATAGATACACACTAATACTATGTTGAAAATAAATAACTAACAAAAATTAATACTTTAACACCTATTTAAAATTGAAGTTTGGATCAACATGGGTTTTAACCATTAATTAACATATTAAGTATCTAGGTTTTTGTAGGTAATTGTGTTATCTGTAGTTTTAAATGAAAAAAGCATACATTTAAAGTATAAATAAACCTATTGATAATTGTGTTCATTTAACCATCATTAAAATCATATAAATATCTTATTAAATTCAGGAACACAAAAATTCAACTATTTTCACATTTTCTATTGAAAAATTCTATGTTCATAGCTATTCAATGTCATTACAGACAATTTAAGTACATTTGAAGTGTTTAATGAATGCATAATTATAACAATGAAGGTAGGTTAGAACAAATAAAAATGTTGGCCTCACAAATGTTTGAAAAATAATTAAATACCTATTACCTATATTATAATAATTTTAATTTTATATAATGCATACTGTATAATAAAATACTAAATCTAGTCGTAAATGCAATAGTTTATATTTCAGAACCTATTTCTTCTATTTCAAATTTAAAAATAAACAATTACCAATAAATAATTACAGTAGGTAACAGGTATAATAAACTATCAGTAGTTATTATTTTTTTTATTGAACTACTAGAACAAGGTGTATCATTAAACTACTATAGTGAACTATTACATGCAGATAATATGGAAAAAAGTCAAAGATCACTATTATTTTTTATTCAATATAATTGTATAATTAGATAGGTAATTGATAATATTTAAAAATCTTACGATAAACAATTATATGAATTTGTAAAAAAAAAATGCAATACCTACTCACATAACACAAAAGCATGTTGAATATATTAGGTAAATATAATTACATTTATAGACAACTGTAGTTTGACCTATGTTTAACAACAAAAGGTATTATTAATTTATTCTAAATTTTCTAGACTATTATGCTCACAATTCCAAGGCTTAATCATTTTAATACGCATGTATAAATTTATAAAATATTGGTACCTATTACATGATGCAATGGTAAGCAATGGTTATTCTATAGATTTCATAAAAAAAAATTATTATTACTTTTTAGACTAATTTGTTATCTTATAAACATTTAAAATTATATAAGTGGTTAGATACTATATTATACAAAAAAGTTTATTAGCTTATTTTTTAATGAGCATTATTATTGCTAAACTAAATCCATGGTTGGTATTTTTACATTTTATTACCTATTTACAAACAGGTTTATAATTTTTTGTCTATTTTAAACAATTTTATTACAATGTTAACAGTACGGTAGGTAATACCTATTTAAACTTTAAAATAATTATTTTTGAGATTAAAATCGTAACTTTTCAATGTTTAGTATGCAGAATATACAGTTTGTAGGCGATTGTTTAGGTAGCAATTTAGCACCAATGTTATTATTGTTGGAAAAATAATGTGAGTTACCATTAGTTGGATAGGTCTGCATAATAACATATGAATAGAGCGTACAAAGAGATATAAATTACTAATGCCAGTCAGTTATATGTAGGCATTACAGCTGCTGTATAGGTAGTATAACCCTACTGGAAAGCTTTGGGAAAGCTCAAGCACAGCCGGGGAGGAGATGAAAACAGAGTGGAAAACCGGTGGAAAACCGGTGACGGAGGAGTCTTAATTTATAGGTATTTGATTATCGGCCGCAAGAATTAAATAATAAAAAAAAAAAAAAAATGAACAATACGAAAACTCACCTTCGGTGCTCTTGGACGCTATCGAGCCCATTTGACAGCTCGGAGTCGACTGTTGGCGGTGGCGGCGATGTGGAAAACGTTCGGCGGCGGTGGGAAAGTACTGTTACTACCCACAGCGATATCGTTTCGATCTGTATAATATCGTTATTATGTATCGCCGTTCACTCTGGGCATTACTACCTACTGCGTACTAATGCCAATTTAGAACTATGACGTGTGTGGTACGCGTAATAATTCTTATAAAACAGGTCGCGTGGAGAGATTTCGTCGTCGCCGAGTGCCGACGGGTGAATGTGTGAGAGTATCGTCACCGTGACCGTGCGCGCGCGTCTGTGGCCACGAGAAATATAATATTATTATGAACGAAAAAAAAAACCAATAATAATAATAATAATAATAATACTGATAATTACGGTCAGGTGGGGCGCAAAGCGCGTGCAAACGCAGATAGATTATAGAACTGAGCACCGACGGGCTGCGTAAAGTGTTAACCGGACTGTCGTGTCCAGTCGAATTGTTATTATGACGGATGTCCACGCCGAGACTCCAAGAGACCTTGAAACTCGGTCGATAGGCGAACGTGACTCCGCGACTGTCGTCGAATACTACAATAATAATATTTAAAAATAATTACGAGTTTACGATAGTCAACAATAATAATAATAATATATGTAATCTGCCTATCAACCCACCTTGCAGCCTATAATATAATAATATTATTCGCGTAGCGCCAGCTGTAGCGGGAGCTTCGTCCTACCCATGGTCCTACGGTTTGTTTTGTTATCGACACCCCGACGGAATGATAACAGTTACCAAAAATAAGTAAATAAACAATAATAAAAGATGAAATAACAAAAATAACAAATAACAATTCGTCCGTTAACAAGCACAATTTTAGTGCCAAGGTGGATTCAGGATTGATCACATGGATTTCAATCCACCTTGATTTGTGCACAACAAATTTTAATCAGTTTAATCTATATTATGCTTTATGACTCGACCGTCAACCATATATTATCTAATAACACGGAAATACGGAATAGATGAAATTATTAAATTATTTTTCAACTATTCAGTATTTTGTATTTTTGTGGTAACCAATAAAATCATCTGAGAGGCCAGTGTATGGGCACAACATAATATTGTGCATACAGCATAAATCATAAAGTCACAAGCCTTAATTATAATATTTATGATCATAAATCATAATTATTAATTCGTGACTTATGGTTACAAGTTACTATACACGTGTACCTAACTCATAAACATGGTATTTAAATATGCCAATCGCGATTATTGCTGTTTGTGTTTTTACTTTTTAATTTCCGGACGTGTTTATTTTTCCCGTTCGAGGATTAATGATTTGATATCGTTACCGTCGAGTCGACGTATTCATTAGAATAATAATAATAATAACAGTATAACACCTACCAGTGGCGTATCCAGGGGGGGGGGGGGGGTTTGGGGGTTGTAACCCCCCCGAAAATTGTTAAATTATAACAACGTTATCATTAATAAATCATTTTAAGATAAAATTCCACAAAAATAAATTATAACCCCTCCCGAAAAAAAATTCTGGATACGCTACTGACACCTACTCTTTGTGTATTACCGTATTACGAAAAACTGCAAAAGTATAACTAATAAGTATAGATACCTCATAAGTTATAACCACAGATATATAATGACATAGCAGTATGCTTAATGCTTATACATTTCAACATTTGTGGTTACCTATAACAGACAACACTCACTATGACAGTGACGAATATTTTCTAAAATCTACCCACTATAATAAAGCATTTTTTTTAATGAACATACAATATTTAGTTGTAGTACAATTTATAAGTACTTATATTTAGTTATTATTTTTCACTATCATATTGATGACTGATCACCCATTCATCCACTCACAACTCACAAGTAACAACCAATGAACCAAATCTTAAAAATCAAAATCGAGAAACAAGTACCTATTAGGAACCCACAGACAGAGGCACCAGGTTTTAAAAATGTCATAGGCGCTCTCTATTTTATAAACACACGTAGGTGCAGTTTTACACTTTTACCTAAGTATATTTTTTTTCCTTACATTGTTCGTTAAAAAATTACTAAAATATAGTTATTTGTTCTTTTGTATGTTACAACATTTTAATAGTATTAGTATTATGAAAAATCACATGACAAAAATTTAAAAATTACAATTTATTTTTGAAAGTTATAGGTTTTATATTGAAAATGTATTTCTACATATTTATTTCTTCATCACGGTGAACATGAAGAATATTAATATTATTGAACTTATTTGAACCGTGTTTGACACATTGTATACGGCGTACACCTTATGTATGTCTTAGGTCAGCGAAGAGCACAAAAAAATATTTCAGATGTACATGATGAAACTGGTATAACCATAGATTATAACTAATATTAAGCATAATATTTTGGGCTATCTTGTCGTATGCGCTCTACCGGAAACATTGCGACTGCAGTATGCGCTCTACCGTGTTTTGCGACTCTACGATTATATTTAGATTTTGGCCAATAATATATTCTCGTAATAAGTGGGATGATGTAAAAGTGGTTTTAATGAAGATCTGGAGCAATGGAGCAAATCTGGAGTTGTACCACACATATTTTTCACAATTTTTAGCCTCAGAGGCCTTCATAAACGTTCAATCCTTTGGGTATGTGCCTTTGATATTGGATCTATTTTCATAAACGATATTTTGTTTGAATATAGGTAAGGTAACATTTGACGAAGTACATCGTTTTTCATTAGCTTAGAGACATTGTCAACATTTTTAATTGCACCTTCCTTGATTTTTCTACATTCTGACCTTCAAAAACATATCCCCGTGTAATTGGAATTTATCACCTTCAAAGTCACTTCATCACTTGTGTGAATTGTGAAGTTGGGGGACCAAAGCTATAATCTTGTACGTTGTGTTGCATTTCATTAAATTTCAGGGGTGCCGTACCATTGCCCGAAACTACGTTCCTTTACCAAGTAGATGTCGCTCTCTATGTCACAATAATTTTTGTAAATTGTTTTAAAGTATATAAATCAATTCTATTGAGTCAGATCCATAAAATTGAATTATATTTTTATGTGTATCTTTTGAATTCTGATCAATCAGACATGATAACAGATTATTTAAAACATTGTATAACAGGTATTTGGCCAACTACAACATTCCATTTTAAACTAGTCTATTAGCATTAACAAGTTATTAACACAAAATAACAAAATAACACAAAAAACCAGAATACCGAAATAAATTGATGTTAGTTTAACCCAAATTAACACAGAAAACATAAATTAATAATTAAAAATTAAACTTTAACAAATATCCATTTTTTTATACTATGATAACCGTGGGGGCTGATCTCCGAGTAACTAAGCTTATAGGGGGCTCCAGCCTTCGAGCCCCCCCTGTACCCGGAAACCCTGTCCACAGGCGTACATTTCGTTAAAAATCTGGGGGAGGCATATAAATATAAATTGACACGTAGCCCGTAGGTACCTATTAACATAATTTATTATACTTACGAAGTTACGAGGTTAAGTTAGGAAATACTTTCTGGGGGGCTTCATGTGGTTTTAGGAGTGTTAAGCCCCCTTAAGCCCCCCCCCAATTTACACCTATGAAATAACCACTTATCAAAGACCACGAAATCTAAGCAAGGATCTAACACCACAGTGACGGCACTAACTCAGATCCTCCCTCAGTTCCTTGCACAAATCTGCATTTTTTTGGGCCTCTTTTAATTTTGTACGGTTTGCTCCGAACTGGATTTTTATTTTTGGGCAGTTTGCTCAGATGCTTGATGAGATCTGCATTTTCTTTATTTTGCCTTTTTTTTTAGCAGTTTGGGCTAATATGTCTGGGGGGGATCTGATTAAGGAACTGTAGGAGTATCTGAGCAAGGACCTGTGGTGGGATTTGAGTAAACTGCCCAAACTGAAAGCATCATAAGAAGCATCAGATACCTACATAAATGCAGATCTGGTCAAGGATCTGAGCAAACATATATTTCTATTTTAAGTTCTACGATATAATATAATCCACAGGTATAATATAATCAGATATTCAGCCACACGGTCGTAATTAAAAAAAAAAATAATAACTGTACGACGGTCTGTGATGTATAGTATATAGAAGCAGGAGTTGCCTATTTAAGCTGTGTAAAATACAGGTAAATTTGTTATAAGACATACACATAGACACAGTGGCGTATTTACGGGGGGGGGTCCCCGGGTCTGGACCCCCCCCCAGAAAAAAATATAATATAATATAATTATTACATCGTAACTCGTATGTGTTTTTTTTATATTATAAACTTGTAGGTACCTAATATTTAGACCCTCCACAAAAAATTTCAAAATACGCCACTGCATAGACATAACTAACTTTCTATTTCATAAATTAGCCCCAAGTAAACTCCAAAACATCAGAAATATTGCGTAGAACTTGCTTTTGTAAAAATCATCAAAATCGTACTTTTAGAAATTAAGTTATAACTGAAAAAGTGCGAACTTTTTAATGGAAATTTATGTTAAATTCAGAAACACGGTAGCCACCGTCGTCGTCGTCGCATCAGCCTTTGCCATTGTGGCATTGTTACCAACAATATTACCGTTCTTATAGATTATTGAGTAAATATTAAATACTCAATATTTAATAACGATAAAAATTAGTGATATCACAACAATAACTCTTCGTAAACTACCTGTGAAAATGGCTAAGTAAAAAAAATATAAGGTCTTTAAGCACTATAAAGATGTGATATCATGATTATATACTAAGTATATTGAATTTAATTAAACTTATTTTCTTTCAATAATTGATTTACTTGGCGAGGAATTATTTAGAATAGTATATAAATATTAATAATATAGTTTACACTTTTTTATTTTTTTCTATAAAATATAACATAATATTCAAGTTTAAACACTGTTTTTGGAATTGTATATTTAACCAAAATAGTTATTTTAAAATTTAAGGACGTGTTATCAATATTGATATG